TTTTTAGGACTGAAAATCAGTGTTAAATTGTATTCGTCTTAAAAGTTAATTTTGTCTATAATTGTATTAAAGTCACCATGTTTGACTTTTCATAGATACTTTGACTTTGTCTATATGTTTGACCCTATATAAAGAGTGAGTCCTTATAATTTTTAGTAATGAGCTCAATTGATAAATCAGATTACGTAAATACAGTTTGACCATATTTTGGATGCATTGACTTTCTCTCTCTACATTCATTCAAGTGTTCTTAATGTTCATCATAGATTGTCATGGATTCTTACAAGATTATTGAAGATTGATTAAAGTGGGATCTACAGTTATGTAGTTTATATTACAGAATACAGACACATAAATATACACACATACACATAGAATTCTTGTTGGCATCACCCGTCTTTGTCTCTGCCTCCTCACCGACATCCATGTCCACTGTTTCGGTATTCTTCTTTTTCACCGGTCCGTCATAGTCTTATGTTAGGGGTCGTTTATCAAATATTTACTCGGTAAGTGCTTACCAGTAAAATTTAACGCTACTATTTACTTACCGGGTAAGATTTTAGTCCACCAAAACGACATCGCATGTAAAAATTTACCCGGTAAACACTTACTATGGTAAGAGTCGTCGCTCTCACTTACCGAACAAGACTCTTGGTCCTTGTCTCGATCTTACCGGGTAAGATTCTTGGTCTTTGTCTTTCTCTTACCGGGTAAGAAATTGCAAAAGAAAGGGCATGCTGATAGAGCTGCGCGGGGAGGCGATACTAGTTATCAGGTCAGAGAAAGATTTTTGGTCCTTAACATATTCATTATGTGAGGTAATGTGACTTGATAAGCGCTTACTTGGACAAGCATTTGGTAAACGGCCCCTCAGTTGATTAACAATAAAAGAAATAAAGTCAGTCATGATGAAAGAAATAAGGTGATGAGTGCTTAATACCAATAAGCAAATGTTTAAGAGGGAGCATGCGTAATACAAGTGTATATTAATTAATTCAGAGTAAAAAAGAAAATGTTTAAAAAATGAGGTTTTTGATATATTTTTATTATAAATATACAACTTTATTATTTTTAAATAAAAATGTAAAAAAAAGCAAAAACTCCCTAAATTAACGGAGTAATCGTTAATAGAGTTATGGTAAGTAATTCAATTCATAATAAAAGTAAAACTACGGTGAATATAAATATACTTGTTTCATCTGAGGCATCCAATCTAACAAAACGAACGAAATCTGTAATTTACACTGGACTAAAAGAAAACAATAAAATTGAAAACGGACTAAGCCCGAGTGAAAGAAAACGAAACTTGGGTTTGGCAAAAGTATCGTGGGCTCATAGTACTACCATTTAAGCCCAACTATATATAACCTGAGCCCAAATATTTCACAGAAAATCTGAAGACTCGGAGAAACGGTTTAGGTCCCGTTTGGTTTGTATGAATAGATTGGATTTGGAAGAATTTGAAAATTAATTTTATTCCAATTCCGTGTTTGGATTTGAACTATTTTTCTTGGATTTGAAATCTCGGGATTTCATTGAAATCCCACAAACATATATGATTTTGAAATTCCATGGGGTTGGTTGGTATTTTATGAGATTTCATACGTAATAATGATTTAATATATATTAAAAACATTTGCTTTGTTAATCAATTAATAAAAAATTAAATTAATTACTTTTATAATTATTTATAAAAAATTATAATTTTTTTATAAATGCTGGAATTCAATTTCATTCTAAATCCTACAAACCAAACACACCAAAGATTTCAAATTCAAATCTCTCCAATTTCAAAAACTTTTACGAAATCCAAATTCTTTAAAATCATTCTATCAAACCAAACAGAATTAGAATTTTACACTTAAGATCATTAAATCCATTTGTTAAAATAAGTTGACATATTAATTATGTTTTTTTACAACATATTTATACTATATTTTAAAACATTTGACAAAAACTCTTAAAAACCATTTTTTATACATGAAGTACTGTTTATTGATGCATACTACTTAAAATTCAAGATTACAAGTAAATTGTGCGTAAGTACAAGTTATTAAAATGTCATGTTTGAATTCGTATAATTAACTGCAGTTAAACATAATCCAATAAAGGATAAACATCTCATTTTAAATATAAAAATATAAAAAATAATTAGAACAATTATTGAGTTTTAACAAAATAATTAATTATTATCTTTATAAAAAATTATATTATTAAACCAAAAATAAAAAAAAAATGAATTAACGAATACACAAAAAGGTGAAATATTAAATAGTTAGTTTGATACCAATATCAATAAAAAAATCAATTTTTTATGATATATCTTTATATTTATATTTTATTCAAAAATAAAAACATTATCGTTTTCTCAAAACCACATAAAATTGTATTATAACATCGATTGAGATAAAAAAATAAAATAAAATATTAAAATTGAAATGTATCTCGTTATATTGTACAAATACTCTTCTAGTATGTTATAATTTCTGTACAGATAAAACAAAAATTGATGAAACAATCTTCGGCTGCTTGTGTTGTGTGTTGGGCCGAAGTAGAAACCGAGACTGAAATCCGTTTAAGACGTTTGATAGTGGATTAAATTATTCAAATACCATTTATTATATGAATAAAAACCATTTATTTATTTGAGCACCTTTTATTTTATTAATCTACGTTCGTTCATTTTAAAACTGACTGATTTGGCCTTTGGCCTTTTCATTCAGCATTTGACTCGATTAGAATATTTTTATTATAACTAGAAGGGTATTCGTGTAATGCATCGAGACACATTTTTATTTTAATGTTTCGTTTTATTTTTTATCCATGTCGATATAATATGATTTTATGTGATTTTAATAAAGCGATAATGTTTTTATTTTTGAATAAAATATAAATTTGAAAATATCATATAAAATTTACAAAAAATATATTAATATTAGTATCAAATCAACTACTTAATTTTTTTTATTTATGTATTTTTTCTAATTCGTTTTTATTATAATTTAATTTATTGTAACGAAGTAACTTAATTTAGGTTTGATATTATATAAAGATAATAATTAAGTATTCTGTTATAATTCAATAATTATCTTAATTATATTTTAAATTTTTTATATTTTAAAATGAGATGTTTATCCTATATTTGATTATGTTTATCCACAGTTAGTTACACGAATTCAAATATAGAGCTTTAATAAGTTGTACTTATGCATAATTTTACTTGTAATCTTGAATTTTAAGTAATACGGATCAATAAACAGTACGTCATGCATAAAAAATGGCTTTTAAAAGTTTTTGTCATATGATTTATAATATAGTATAGATTAGGGTTTTTTAAATTCTTAAAAATTTAAAGTTTAAGTTCGATTACGAAAGGTATAAAATCTTAAAAGAATCAATTTGATAAATGATACTAAAATGAATTAAGAAATTCCAAATTTTGAACTAAAACGGATTTTTGTCTGTAACAGATCTGTGGGTCAGGACCTATTTTAACTGATAATCTTTTGGACCAGTAATCGATCCTTACATAGGTATAAAATTAATCAACCGGTTTTTTTGTGCATCTCTACCGACAACCAACACCAATATCCCCCACCTACTGCTTGCAACAACCACTTTCCGACCCCTTTGCCCTCACAATTTGGAGTTGTTTGTTTATCTGTTAATAATTATATTAAGATGCAGTCTCTGAATCGTTAAGAGGTAAATTTTGTTTGACAAGAAAAATTTGTCTCTTAATGGTTCTAAAATTCTCTGAATGATTTTGCATCATTGGCCTTCTTTAATAATTCAGCGCCCTCATTTCATTGTAAACAATCATCAAACAATTATATTTCATTTTGCACTACATCATAAAAGCCATTTAATCATTCTGATCATTTAATCATTTTGTACCAAAACATTCAACAACTACCAAACAACCCATTACTGGCCTCTCTTCTTCACTTATACAATGTCGACCTCAATCATTCATCTCCTTGATATATTTTTATCTCTAACCAACAAAGTTTCTATTTTTATATTTTCATCATTAAACAATATTCGTTTATATTTCTTTCTATTATTTTCATATACATGATGTTAATATGAAAGCGGAATCACATTTTTATATAATGAGAGGGATTTATAATAAAATTTTGAAAAGTCGTTATAATAAAAAATAAAGCAAACTACAAATTTGGTCCATGTGGTTTGTTAAAAATAACATTTTTCGTTCTTGTAATTTTAAAACTACAAGATGATCATCATGGTTTACAAATATGTCCAGACATTGATCCATCCTTATAACGACCGTTAAAATATTTTGTTAAATGAAGGACATCTTCGTCATTTTATTTGTTTTTTAGTCTTTTATCTAATAAATTCAGTTTTATGATTTTGGCCCCTGTGGTTTTTGACGGGATAAAAGACCAAAAAAATTATAAAATGATGAAAATACCCATCATTTAACGAATTTTTTTAATGATCGTTAGAGCTTAGGGGTCAAATTCAGACATTTTTACAATCTGTGATGGTCATCTTAAAACCATAAGGACCAAGATTGTTATATTCAACAAACCATAAGGACCAAATTTGTAGTTTACTCAAAAGAAAATATACACAAATTTGCCCATAGTAAAGGCATGTGCAATCCTGTGAACTGTACTGCATCTTGACCCTTTGCACACTCGATCTAAACACACCATCCACTTACATGCATCCACGTGTCACGCCGAAATTAACTCTTAAGACGCCACGTGTACTACACTTTCATTCCTTATGGAAACCTCCGATCATGTTGACGGAGATCTCAAAATCGCTCATCGGACAAAACGAAACTAAATAAAGGCCATGCTGAATCCCTTGTCGACCGTCCGATCATAATCCAACGGCCCAGATCTTTTTGCTTCCTCTCCTATTTAAACTCGTTTATTTCATTTTCTCCCATGTCCAACTCTGTTCTTCTTCCCGTCTTCACACACAGATCTTCAATTGAAACGCCATCGTTTATTGTAACGATGGCGTCGACGGCTCTCTCGTCCGTCAACCTAGGGTTTCGATCAGTTCCCGCCTACAAACGCCATGTCTCTTCCACACAGTCTCCGTCGTTAAAACTCCATAGATCCACTGGTCAACAGCACCTGCTGTCATCTTCTTCGTACACATCAACATTTACTTCTCGCTTACCAGTTCTTAATCTCAGGTCACCAACTAGACACCTGAATTTTTCAGTAAAAGCCTCCGCCGCTGTAGTTCCAGCAAAACCAGAACCTACACCGGCGCCGGTTCCATGGCAAGGAGCCAGTATGAAGCCTCTAGTTGCTTCAATCGCGACTGGAATTATTCTATGGTTTGTTCCGGTACCTTCTGGAGTTTCGAAAATCGCTTGGCAATTGCTATCGATATTTCTCGCAACAATCGTCGGAATTATTACACAGCCTCTGCCGCTCGGTGCTGTTGCTTTAATGGGTCTGGGAGCGTGTGTTCTTACTAAAACTTTGACATTCGCTGCTGCTTTTTCCGCTTTCGGTGATCCGATACCTTGGCTGATTGCTCTTGCGTTCTTCTTCGCTAGAGGATTTATTAAAACAGGACTCGGAAACAGGATTGCTTACCAGTTTGTATCGTTATTTGGTAGCTCTTCGTTAGGGTTGGGGTATAGTTTAGTGTTCAGCGAAGCTTTGTTAGCGCCTGCAATCCCTTCGGTCTCCGCTAGAGCCGGAGGAATTTTCTTACCGTTGGTCAAGTCCTTATGTGTTGCTTGTGGGAGTAATGTGGGTGATGGAACGGAGCATAAATTGGGGTCCTGGTTGATGTTAACGTGCTTTCAGACATCGGTTATTAGCTCGTCAATGTTCTTGACTGCTATGGCTGCGAATCCATTGAGTGCTAATTTGACACATAATACCATTAATCAGACGATTGGGTGGACCCTTTGGGCTAAGGCTGCAATTGTGCCTGGAATTGTTTCGTTGATTGTAGTACCGTTCCTCTTGTATTTGATTTATCCACCATCAGTAAAGAGTAGCCCGGACGCACCCAAACTTGCGAAAGAGAGGTTGGAGAAAATGGGACCTATGACAAAGAATGAAATCATCATGGCGGGAACCTTGCTTCTTACGGTACAATGGCTGATTACTCATCTCATGCTCAAATATTTCTACATTTTTGTTTAGAAATGCTGTTAATAGAACCTGAATTAGTACGGTAAAACACTTAGTTTTAGGAATTGATTTCAAATTGAGGGAAACAACAGGTTGATAAATTAACATGATACTGTATTGTGGTTACAAAAATGAAAATTGGTTTTTACATCTACTTCCCCATCTGGTTTTCAGAGTTGCTACAGTATTCCCCACCTTGGATGTTTTTGAACTTTCTGAAAGGAGACACTTCTCTTATCTACTGAATGATGCAGTAGCCTTATACGCCATTTCTGTATCTACTGAGTAATTCTAATATCGGACAACATGTTTGGGATCACCTGTTTGCAATTTGCAATTTGCATTAAGTTATCATAATTTGTTCAAAAAATACAAGAAGTTGTGCTATTGTCATCTTGATGATAGTATTTCCTCACCCTTTCATTTTCTCTGGATCAAACAGGTTGGCCTATGGATATTTGGAGGGGTAATAAATGTTGATGCGGTTACAGCTGCTATACTTGGACTATCTGTCCTCCTTATTACTGGAGTTGTGACATGGAAGGAATGCTTAGCAGAATCTGTTGCATGGGATACCCTTACATGGTTTGCTGCTCTCATTGCAATGGCTGGGTACCTTAACAAATATGGTCTCATCAACTGGTTCAGTCAGACAGTTGTTAAGGTGTGTTCCCTTCCCTCATTTCTGATAGATGTTTTTCACATTTGTACCTTAACAAACAGCCTCAACTCCTTCTTAGTACCGGCAAACGTTGCATTATGTTCTCATACATTATAAAATGGTTCATTCTTTTGTTTTGGTTTCTTCCGGAGCACAATGTCTAAATGCTTATGAAATATATTAGCTTTTTAGACAATATATTGGCAAAAAATGACGTGGGATGAGCAGCTAAGGATGGACATGGTTGCCTCAGACATTTTTGAAGACATGACCTATGATAGGAGCTCTATTTTTTTGTTAACCGTGGATGTCCGGGGCAGCTTTTCGGCACCTCAAATAGTTCCAACTAATCCAGGGCCCTGAGAACAACCAGGAAAAGCCTCAGTGGCCTTGCATGACTTAAACAGGTGACCTATGAGGAGAAACCTCAAAGACCCAAGCCTTATTGCCAGTTGAGCTAACCCCACGAGGTTCCGAACTCTTGGAGATGTAGGACTAGGGTAGCTGACTATGGGCAGGATAGGAGTTGGGAGTAGTTAGAGGGTGAGATGGGGAGAGGGGTAGCGTGGTGGCAGTTAGGTTACCAGGGCCTTACGCCCGTTGGATGGTTGTTTATTTTACTTTTTCCTACCTTACATGTATGCTATTGTTTCTACTTGTATGACTCGTTTGCTGTGCGTTAGTCCTACATTTTCTTCATGTAATTGTAGTTGGCTATACTGTGCCTTGTGCTCCTTGTCCCCTTATTTGTGTAACCTATATCCCTCGCATTAAGCTAAACCCCGAGGTGGGATCTGCGTACTTCTTACCATTTGGTTTAGTTTTTTTTAACTTTTTAAATCAGGTTCCCTTTAGAATCTCTGTATTAGAATGAACTCATCAAATGCTGGCAATTCTCATCTGGTTTTTTTCTCTGCAGTTTGTTGGTGGGCTAGGTCTTCAATGGCAGGCATCTTTTGGCATTCTTGTTCTTCTCTACTTCTATTCTCACTACTTTTTCGCTAGCGGAGCTGCTCATATTGGTGCCATGTTTACGGCCTTCTTGTCTGTCGCCAGTGCCCTTGGCACCCCGCCATTATTCGGAGCCATGGTGCTATCATTCCTCTCCAACCTCATGGGTGGTCTAACCCACTACGGAATCGGGTCAGCTCCTGTGTTCTATGGAGCGAACTACGTTCCTTTAGCCAAGTGGTGGGGCTATGGCTTCCTCATCTCTGTGGTCAACATCATCATCTGGCTTGGAGTCGGAGGAGTTTGGTGGAAGTTCATCGGCTTGTGGTAAGGTAACCTTAGGACAACTTGTCGATCTCAAATTTTCGTAATCAGTTTTGATTCTTTAACTTGGAAATTGGCTTTGTTTGAGAGATTACTGGTTATGCAACAAACTCCTTATGATGCATTCAACCTCACCATCTGTGTTCTGTTTTGTTCCTAAGGATGTAGACATTTATCAAAAGTGTACCAAAGTCAGTTTGATGCATCTTGTGATTATTTTTGCTTCATGGGTTCAATCTTTTAATCTTGTTTTTCTCTCTTTGATTTTTTTTTGAATAACCTGGATATCCAACCCGCTATGCGAGCCGACTAATCCCAGGGCGACCACCTGCTTTGCAGATAGTCAGGAGTCAATCGTATTTGAACCTTCGTGGCCATAAGGGGATTCTTATTCCTCCTTGGATTTGAACATATGAGACCTCCTGGTACTTTTGACCTTTAGAGTCAAGATCAAACTAATCAGGCACCACCCTTGTGGTTATCTATCTTTGATTTTCTTGTCTTCTTGGGAGGATTCATACCCCCCATGATAGTTATGGCTTGCTTTGTTGGCTTTGGATGTGCAAATTTAGGTCAAATGTGGCCACACAATTTTGTTCTATGATTGATGATGAAAATTTTGCGCGCACACACACACACTAAAAAAAAGTACCCTCCACCTTTTGGAGGGTTATATTGTACTACTCTCATGGTAATCACAAGGGAGGTAAATTATACATGAATCCAATTGACAGAGAACCTAAGGACCTCATATGGATTTAACCCACGTCTCTCCCGTTATTACACACGAACAAGGACTACTTGCGCACTAAGTTGTAAACCCACGTCTCTCCCGTTATTACACACGAACAAGGACTACTTGCGCGCTAAGTTGTACGGTTCAGATAGGCAGGGGCTGACACACATGAAATGATACGGTGGTACGGGCTGTCGTTTCGTGATTCCGTTACAAGGGAAAAATTTACATTTCTTAAGGGTGAAAAGTGTCACAGTATTGTTGTGTTGGGTGTCACCATATAGTTTTTGATGCTGACATGTCAACACCATACTTTAATAGCCGAGATGGAAAATGCTTCTGTCCTAAGGCCTCTGTTTTTGAATCATATTGTTGTCAAATTTGTTGTTTGGTAGCTTAAATTTTGGTGTCTTTTTATATACCTCTTTTGTTTTTAAAAATATATATAGACAAGACCCGAACATGAGTCTCGTTTAGGTAAGAACAAGGAACCAACCAACAGATCTATATTAATATTGCAAAAAAATAGATATTTTTTATAGTCAAATTGTGTCACCACTTAGAAAAAAAATTAGGTCTACCTCTACAGATAGAAGAATGAACACGACATGGAATAAAAATGAGTGAGTTTTTATTCCCTCAATTTAACCTGAGACGATTGTGGAGAAATGGGTCTATTATACTATTATATAGAATCAAATATTTTCTTTAATTTTCAATTTAATTAATTACTGTTTAATATCTATAACCAAATTGATAAATCATAGCTAATAGATTACCATTAAAAACCAAACTTGTCAAAAATTAAAGCTTCATGTCCATTCTTATAATTTAAAGTTGACGTATGAATAAACAAATATATTTTATATTAACGACTGTCTTTTTTAAGAATTCTCTAAATCATGATATATTTGAGAATTAATTTATCATGTGTTATTTTATATGATTTTTTTCCTCATCTATAACTATAATTTAATATAGTGACTAAAATATATTTGTTTCATATGTACTCGATTCATAATGCGAACATTTTTTTTTACGTATTTTGAAACAAAACATATTAGTAAAAAAAGTTTTATATTGTGAATCAAATATATATGAAATAAACACACTGTGAAACAAATATATAGTAATTAATACTATATTTAGATGGAAAAATATCATGTAAAACAAAAATTCAAGAGAGAAGCTCTCATGAATCACGCGAATTTTAGAGTTCTCAAATGATTAAACTCTTAGGTAAAAGAACGTGTGAGAAGGAAAGTTAAAATGAGAAACGTAAAAAAGGGATTGCGACTCTTGATCATTTTTAATCTCAAACTCACACATGAATCGAGTTTGATCTAGGAATTGATTTGATGTATCTCAATGATCTCATCTAATATGTATCTAAGATTGGAGTTCCCTTGTTACTTGTTGTGCTTCTTAAACCAACCAATTCAAGATTAGAGTTTCCTTCTTAAACTTTCTTCTTACGGTAACTCTCCTTCTCACCGACCCTAAACTCTTGTATTTACATATTTCTTAAGAATTATATCAATTCACTCTTCCTTGATGATCTTTTCTGACATGGTTTTTGAGGTATATAAATATAAAACAAGAAAACATAACTTCATTTTCAAGTTGGGTCTAATATTCACCTGCCAAATGCCAACTACCTTTCAAAGATGGAGGTCTCTCTACCCCTAGGTCTCCAAAAACTCCCTTTTATCCCAGCAAAAATCCATGAATCAGAACGTTGGAACTCAATAATTAAACAACATACTAAACTAAAAGATGACCACGCTATACTCGCTACATACACCCAGATGGAATCTTTGGGTATTTTGCCCGATAATTCCACTCTGCCTCTGGTACTCAAGGCATGTGGCCGGCTAAACGCCACTGAACGAGGCAAGAAGATACACAATGCTGTTTTGAACACGGATATGGTTTTTGATATTCGTGTTCAGACGGCTCTTGTGGATTTCTACTCAAAATCCGGGATGTTGCACAATGCACTTAATGTGTTTGATGAAATGACTGACAGAGATGTGGTTTCATGGAATGCTATGATTTCTGGGTGTGTTAGTTGTTCCAAATACCAACAAGCTCTGCTTTTGTTCTCTCATATGCAAAAGGGGAATTTAAAAGCGAATTCGGTAACTATTGTTGAGCTACTTCGGGCTTGTCGGGAGCTGTTGGAGTTAAGGCTTGGGAAGGAGATACATGGGTATTGTTTGAGGCATGGTTTGTTTAATTCAAATCCTCATGTGGATTCTTCTTTAATGGGGTTTTATTTGAAATTTGATCCACGGACTGCTTGTTCTGTTTTTGAAACGCTGGCTTCAAGAAACACGATAAGTTGGAATACTATGATAAGTGGGTATGTTGACCATGGAGATTGCTTGAAAGCTCTGCAGCTTTTCATTCTGATGCTCAAGGATGGATTCGAGTGTGATCCTGTCACAATGTTAGTTGTCATACAGGCCTGTGCTGTATTCGGAGATCTAGAACTGGGAATGCAAGTTCATCAACTGGTTATCAAATTTGGTTATAGCAATATATATATAGTTAATGCATTGATGAATATGTACATCAAATCTGCAGATTTAAGATCTTCTTATGAGCTATTTAACTCAATGCCAACTAGAGATGTTGCTTTGTGGAATTCTATGTTATCTTGTTATGTTGCAAGCGGGTTCATCGAGGAATCAATAAAATTGTTAACCGAGATGCAGTTGGAGGGCATTCAGATAAATGAACGGACCATAGTCATCATGCTGCCTCTATGTGCTGATCTTTCCGGTGGTTTAGTTAATGGTAAAAGCTTACATGCTTATGCCTTTAAGATTGGCAAGGAAAGGAACACGCATATTAGTAATAGTTTGGTGAATCTATATGCATCTTTTAACTGTATTCAAGATGCCACAAGGATTTTTACTACAATAAAGGACTTGGATGTAATTTCATGCAATGTTTTCATCTCTGCTTTGGCCCATAATGATCTGACAGTTCAAGCTTGGGAAATTTTCACCCAGATGTTAGAGATGGAAATTAAACCGAATTCTCATACAGTAACTTCGATTCTTGCTCTTTTTGATGGTGTAGAACTTTTGAATGTTGGCAGATCCATCCATGCTTTCATGATGAAATGTGGGATCCAGATTGATGCATCTTTAAACACGGCACTGACAGAAATGTATATAAATTGTGATGATGAAACAACTGGTAGGAGCTTGTTTGAGAATTATCCCAATAAAGATTTGATCTCTTGGAACACATTGCTTTCCACTTATATCAAGAACGATCAAGCCAACAAAGCTTTGCTTCTTTTCCACCACATGATCTCAAGGGTAAAACCGAACTGTGTCACTATCATAAACGTTCTTTCTTTGTATACTCATCTTTCTAATCTCCCTCAAGGTCGATGCTTACATGCTTATACGTTAAGAAGATTTTCATCATTGGATCTTGATTTATCTCTTGCAAATGCCTTCATAACTATGTATGCAAGATGTGGTAGTTTGGAATATGCTGAAAAGATCTTCCATATTTTACCAGAAACCAACATCATTTCTTGGAATGCTATGATTGCTGGTTATGGAATGCATGGACATGGTGATGATGCTATGTTAACCTTCGATAAAATGGTCAAAAAAGGAGTTAGACCAAATCAGGTAACGTTCATCTCTGCTTTATCTGCTTGTAGCCATTCTGGTATGATACATAAAGGCTTACAACTTTTTGATTCAATGGTTCAAGATTTTTGCATAACCCCTGAACTGGTACATTATGCTTGTGTGGTTGATCTTCTTGCTCGTGGTGGGTTCTTAAATGAAGCCAAAAATGTTATCGACACCATGCCTATGGCACCAGATGGCTCCGTTTGGAGAGCCTTGATTGGTGCTTGTCGAGTTTATTCCGATACCCATCTGGCTAAAACTGCTTCTGAAAAGCTTATCGAATTAGAACCAACAAATCCTGGGAATTATGTGTTATTATCCAACATTTATGCTGCTGCTGGTCTTTGGTCTGAGGTCAAAAACTTGAGATTGATTCTTGAAAACAAGGGTTTGAAGAAGCCAGCAGGTAGAAGTTGGATTGTTATCAAAAGTCAACTTCATTTTTTCGCAGCAGGAGATAAATCACACCCAGAATCTGAAAATATTTACGAAAAGTTGACTTATTTGTTGACTTTGGTTAAAGGAATGGGGTATGTTCCTGATTTGAGGTGGGTTCTTCATGATGAAGATAATGAGAGAAAAATGGCAAGGCTTTCAAGTCACAGTGAGAAACTGGCAATTGCATTTGGATTGATCAGTTTAAGCAGTGGTTCACCAATCTTGATTTCCAAGAACCTAAGGATTTGTGGTGATTGCCATGAATTCTGCAAGTATGTCTCAAAGCTTTCACGAAGGACCATAATTCTCAGGGATGCTAGTCGTTTTCACCATTTCATCGATGGGTTCTGCTCTTGCAAAAACTACTGGTAAGACTTATTACTGTTAAAATTCTTTTGTAATTGACTATATATAGGTTTATATTAACAATACATATGTTATTTGTATTTTATGTCTTAGAGCATCCACAATGATTAGCTTTTTATTTGAGCTTTTTCCATAAAAGTGGAACCCACAAAGAAAGTTGATTCATTCCTACCGTCTAACCAGTCTCAGGCTTACTCCAAAGAACCAGGCTTCGGGCCTAACCAGTATTGGTCATAACCAGACTTTAGTAAGGAAATTAGGACCAAAATAGGACTGTTGGTCATCCTTAAGGGTGCGTTTTGGTGCACATGACAGAACAGAGATCACTGTTCCACATTTGGGAGGACTGTTATGTGGAATAGGTAGGAACAAGGTGGAGTAGGCATCTTCCACCCCCACCCCCACCCCCATGGAACTAGGTAGAACAAGGTGGAACATACCTGTATTTGACCAATATAACCTTAAAATAAAACTTAATTCTTTTCTAAAACATCAAATACGTCTCCCTCTTTACATCTTATTCATTTTTTAAATTTTATTTATTTTATTTTATGCTCTTTAAACTTTCACTTATTGTACTCAAAATATTTTTATATGGTTTCTATATTTTAATTAAATTTATGTAATTTATTAAATATTAATAATAAAAAATAATATATAAAAGGTAGAAAATAGAAATTGGAAACTACATAAACTTTTTATTTTTGTCATTTTAACGAAAACTTCCTAATGATATATTTTGTTATAAAAAAATATTTATTTTATTATAATTTAATATATTACATAATTAATGAAAACATATAAAAATATATAAACAACTCATTAAGTGTAAATTGGTCATTTTATCTGTTCTGTCTAGTTCTGTCTTAACAAACTCAGAGTTCTGTTCTATCCTGTATGGATACCAAACGCACGGGATCATACATATTATGGCCAGGTAGCAGACATGAACGAATAACATCTGCACCATTAAACAAATCTAAAAACCATTATATGTACAATGTCATATAGATATCAATAGATTTCCCCATAATTCTTCTTCAGCAACCCAAATATGAGCTTCAATCTAACTAGACAGGACAGAAATAACCATGGTAAAATGTCAGCTCCTTATCCATACTGTTCCCAGTTCGCATCATCGGACGGCCATATCACTGTCTCCATGAGCCGCTCACGCATCAACTCCAAGTTCTGGTCCGATAGATTTTTATACATTTCAGCATGATCCACTTTCTAAAACACAAAAATACCCAATAGTTACGAGATTCTGTAGGTAAAAAACATTGGATGACAACATTAACCATTCGATACCTTAATCCATTTTCCATAGAGGTGAAGGCGAGTCACCATTACTCTTTCTGCAAGTTCATGTTTCTCCTGTTGAAACAAATGACACCAATAAGACAGATCAGTCTTCCTGGACGAGTTTAGACGTTTTCTTGAAGGTTTTTTTTGGCAAATTTAGGATGGAAACAAGACAAGCCGGCTCACGGGTGCTCATAAACCGGCTGGTCAAAAAACTAGATGAATCAAAGCCTATGCTGAGCACAAGTCAACTCAGTTGCCTATATGAGCCAAGCTTAGGCTGGTGTGGATTAGGATTAGCAGTTAACAAACTTAAACAAGTCCAGCCTATACAACCTATAATTTAGTCTTCCTTCTTGAATTTGTAAATCTTTTAGGGATAGCTTGCTTGTAATTTTTCAAGGGAGTCATTTTAATTAAACTTATATGATCTAATATGAGCTCATACAAACTGACCCAAGATACAAGCCTATAACTCATAAAAACTAAGCCGAGCTGAGAATCAAACCTAAGCTTCCCTGGCTTGACAAGCCACTAGTGAGTCTGAGCCTACATATTTTTGAATGACTAGGTCAATGATCAAGCCTTAGGCAAGCCAACCTAGAGTCCATGAAAGTTCTATGATTGACTTCATGTATTTGCTAATGATTTTAGCATGATTTCTTTCCGAGCATATACCTTTTGGAGGACACGAAGAAAGCGCTTTCCATCGTTAGGTTTGTTTGTCACCACAAAACTGTTAAGTCACAAATGATTGACAAAGTCAAAAATTAGCTTCCAGAAAACTATAAAGAACTCAAGAACTGGTAGAAACACGAAAGTAAACTTACTCATAAAACCAACGATATTCCGTTGGGTTCATCTCATATAGTTGGTTCATAACAGTCCTCACTGCTTTATAAGTGAACAGATTAAAGATTTGCTGCAAGAACAAAAACCTTTGCTATCATCAATTAAGCCTTAAATCATAGGAATTAATAGTAATACCCCCAAAGGCATTGAGCTTTTCTTCATTCAGAAACTTGGATCCTTTATAGAGACTCCAAATTGGAACTATTTCAAATGAACATAACATAAAGATGGTACAGAAATTGTTCCATAAGAAGGCTAAATATCATGAGAAAGTAGGAAGGGACATGTGGGAAGGTTCATATATGAATCAACGAAAAATCCCGAAAAAATCTATTTGAAGATGCATATGTGAAACGACGTTACAGATTATTCATATGAATGCAAATATGCATCTTCAATTGGATTTTTTCAATAATTCACAGATGAAGCTTTCCTTAACCTGCTTACCCTCTTACAATATTTAACCTTGTTCTTTGCACCTCCTGTTTGTTCAATAATTGAGTAAAATTATGGAAAAAGAGGAAGGATTAGCAAGTTCTTACTGCTTGAACATCATGAAAACTGTCTTCATATTGTCCACCAAGGTCATTGACAACCACAAGACCCCTAGATTTTTTCTGCTTCTTGGAGGAAGGTACTTTTACTGCAAATTTGAAGTGAATGAAAGAACTTCTCAATTTCAATGAACCAAAGTGCTTTTTGGCTACTGATTTATGCCCACTTTTTGTGTGGTTCATATGAGTTTTTGATGCGAGTGCATCCACACACAAACATGGTGAAGTATGTGAATCCACAACTGATGAACCCACAACAGATACACCCCCAACCATCCTTTAGAAAAGAACCCAGCCAACAAAACAAGAAACACTTTTCTGGGCTTCTTGTGGGGGAAAACTGACAAATCAGAATGAAACAATAATCTGTAAGAACAAATAAGAGACACCCAGATGAAAACTGGAAGAAATATTCGGTGGGTGTCTCTGGAAATTGAAGATTGATGACTGGAAACAAAGATTGATGAACTTAGATGAAGAAATGGATGGATGCAGAGTGAAAGGTTTAAAGAAGTGCAGGGGTAGGGTTGAAGAGAATATGTGGGAAGAGGAAGCAATGACCAGAAATAAATGTGAGGTCCCAAATTCTCCAACCAATTAGGGGTTCTTTTTTAGGGGGTCTCCTTTTTTGGAATGCTTAAATCATCAAATCAGAATCTTGAGTGAACGCGGATGGTCATGTTTGAATTTGCTGCATGTTCCTTGTGGGGAAGGCTATACCAAACTTCCTTCTAGCTTAACTACTTCCACCTTCCATTTTGCTTTTTCACACCATCTTTAACGCAGTTACGAACCTATACACAAGGTGGTGTCTGATTGGTTTGAGCTTGACTTCAAAGGTCAAAAATATCAGGAGGTCTCAGGTTCAAATCCAATAAGGAATAAAAATCCCCTTGTGGCCACGGAGGTTCAAATGCGGTGACTCCGGACTATCTATAAAGCAGATGGTCGTCCTGGGATTAGTCGGTTCCCATAGCGGGTTGGATATCCAGGTTAATAAAAAAAAAATGATGGCATGGGTCACTGCTTAAAGAAAATTACGTTTTTAAAAGACGCCATCATATAGATTTTAAAACTGAAATCTTAACGCAAGTTTTTAATGGTGGAGTTGATAAATGTTCATGCTTTTGTACAAGAGACCCGGGTACGAGTCACATATTGTCTAATTTGTTGGTTTTTAGCTTAATTTTTTTTTTTTTTATATAGCTCTTGTGTTTTCAAAAAGACATGTAGGCATGACTTGAATATGGGTGTCTTCTATGTAGGGATAAAGAACTGACCAACAAATATATACTAATATTGTGAAAAAGAATTGTAGATATTTATTTATAGTCAACTTGTGCCACCATTTAAAAAATTTATGGATCCTCTGTCTAAGCATGTCTTCAATTTTACTGCAAATACACGATTTTATCGGTTGAAAGCTCCAGCTGAAAGGCAAAAAGAACGGAAAAATAGGTATGCCTTGTTCCATTCAAACAATATATGTATATTTGTGGTTGGAGTTAATTTTATTTGGTGTTAATGGATTCATCAATTTGATGGTTTTTTGGTGTTGTGACCGGAGATGATGAGATCCAGGAGAACCTAAAAAATAGGAGAACTGAAGAATCACAAAAAATAGATAAAAGAAAATATATCAATAGAGATGTCAAATTAAAAAAAAAAGAATAAAATAATTGTTTTTCTTTGTGTAATTTGTTTCGCTTCAATTTTGGTTATATATTATCGAATTTTTAATTTAAAAATAGATAGATATGTATGATTCATCTTTTTAATCATATATATCAGATAATTTCAATCTAACGGTTGTGATAAATTCTTTCGTTATCCTATTTTTAAGGTTTTCCATCGATCTTTTATGCTACTACGATTAATATAACTATTGATTCTACTTTGTAGGTTTCTATTAACCCAAATTTAGTAAAGAAAGTTTATCGTTTTTCATATTATTATCGTTTATTGTTGACGTTTAATTTTAATAGCAATGGTCAAATACATGTGTCATGAAATTGACATTCTTTTTGTCATGAGACACGTCTACATTTTTTAAACTAGTTGTATATTGAAAAAATCATGTGAAACGATAGATCATGATGATAGTTTTAACATTTATCATAATATGTGACGTTTTCAAATGATTCAACTTCATTTTATTTTTTAATTATATATAGCTTACATGATTATTTCTTAGAAAAAGATCGTAAGCAACATATTAATCGTTACCCAAATTATCGTTACAATTATGTTTGTTAATAGGGGCATAGCCAGAATTCTAATTTAGGGGAGCTTGAATATTTCAGATTTAGTTTGTCGACGTGAAGTTATTCAAACATGATGTTAATATGATATATGCGATTAATGGTGGTTCTTTTAAGTCTCGTGAGATTTTAACTGGAAATTTGATTTGTGGCGTGTTGATAAAAAACCATGAATATTGTGACTTTTGTTTGTAAAATGACAGAACAGATAAATATTTCGTATTATAGTGTTAATCAAAACCAAAAACATGTCATTTCTATCATTGAGCCATTATTTACACTAATATATTTATGTATCATAAACAAATGATATCAACATGAATATCTATATCATAATATAGGTGAATGATCGTGTAAGAATTGAGTTAAGTTGAAAAACGTAAGAAGAGATCTAAACCCTTGATCACCTTTGAATCGCGCTTGATCCGGTGTATCTCATCTTCATATGCATCCAACGATGGAAAATTCTTCTTACGCTTATCAGCTTAACTTTCTTTCTCATCGGAACTCAACCCTTACCATATACACACATCCGGCTACACATATGGATGATAACTAAGGGGTCAACAAAATTATAAAAATCTATGGTTCAAAATGTTTTTATTATTATTATTATTATAAAATCTTGATTTATATATTTTTGAAATTTATACGATAATATCAATATTGATTTAGTTTATTTGATTTTTGATTTAATATTATTTTCTTATAATTTTTAATGATTGAAAAATAATTTTTTTTAATGTATATAAATATCAACCCAAAAACAATATCATAAAAATCCTAATAATCATATATAGTTACTAAATGGATATTAGCTAGATGATATTTTGATGGGGAATTGGATGGTCATCAGATTGGATAAGTTCGATTTTATTGGATGTTGGACTGTCATCCAAGTCCTAAGAACCAACTGATCCAATTTGGATGTTGAAATTTTGGATCTGATCCGATCCGATCCAATTACGATTGGATATCCAGTTATGGTCGATCAATTTTAATTAGATCGGTCAGTCTAAATCGGATTTAATGACTTTTTGCATACCCCTAAGGCAACCCCTTTGCTCTCTCCACCACTATTTGTTGAAATATTTTTATTAGATGAAAATAACAATAAAATTTGTTTACATAGTGACCATCAGAGACTAATATACAATAACGATATAAAATATGACCCTAGAAGGTATCGGAAAAATCAACAACAATAATGTTAAAAACGGAGTAAACTCAAATGTTCATTATTAAATGCAATAAAAGTCTAATCCAATCGTTAGATCCATCAAACTTAAGCTAAAAACAGAAGTCTAAAACTAAATAACAAGAGTCAAACAACTGTTTGTTATAGCAAAATAATAATAAAAGCAGTTTAGTGAGCAAGCTAACGAACTGGGCTGACTATTTCCCTTTGCTAGTCCCTGCGTGAGTGTCTCCTGAGATACACAGTATGGGTTAGCTTAACAAAGCTAAGTAAATTCATGAAATACTAAGACAACATAACATTAAGCATTGTAATAACATAGCTGCATTGCAACTAATCACCAAGTATATGAGTGATCACATAAGCTACTTTCATTCACTTTACTACCTATGCCTAACAGCACACATACTGAACTAAGCAACGTAATTGTTCCCAAGCGGGTAACTCTTTCTGAGTACCATTGAGCTAAACTGATTTATTTAATACTAATAATTGCCACACGTGAGTAATATAAAATAACAATAACAACCACAAGGGTGGTGCGTGATTGGTTTGAACTTGGCTTCAAAGGTCAAAAGTATCAGGAGGTCTCGGGTTCAAATCCAATGAGAAATAAAAATCTCCTTGTGGCCACGGAKGTTCAAATGCGGTGACTCCGGGCTATCTGCAAAGCAGATGGTCGCCCTGGGATTAGTTGGCTTGCATAGCGGGTTGGATATCCAGGTTAATAAAAAAAAAAATAACAGTAACGATAATATCCACAATGGCTAAACAATTTAAATAGTTAAAGTATAATAATTAAACTGTGTAAACCATAAAACTAACTGTATATCCTCTCCTTGAGGAAACAAGTCATCAAAACTCACCTGAGCTGCTGAATAGTTGAGCAAAGATAGAACTTTGTAAATTTTATACGAACCGGACACCTAACAATAAATTTTGGGCTCCAAGATTACGCTTAATAATTATAAACTAAACCTGACGGAAAAGATTTTAACAAACCCACACTCTAACTTATCTGTACTTACTTGACAACCCCTAAAATTTATTAAATTTACACCCCTAGTTAATTACTATTATTAAATTTACTCCCTTAATCTCTCGCCCGGTGAACTCGAGGGTTCAACCCCTCTTCTGACTGTACTCGATCTAGGAGGTGTGGAGGCCACATCGGACAGGGGTCTGACACTTGTATCGGGAAGAAAGTGTGACCACAACCATTTTCCCACTCCGTTAAATCTCATTGATGTTAAACCTCATTGAAACACAAATATCGCATCGGTTGACTCTAGCTCGACACTACCCGATCGCTAAATGGAATCGGGTCACAACTCCAGAAAAAACTAAATGGAAACGGGAGAAGGTTTACTTATTGAAAACCAACGATCGAGTCTCCAAAACTTCCTGCATCAACCTTGAATCGAGCCCTTCAAACCCGTTCTTCTTGCTAGACCTTCGCCAAATTTCTCTCGTTTTTTTCTTTGAATCTCACGGGAATAATGAAGAGAAAATCTTCTTGTTTTCGTATGGGAAAAGAGAGGTTCAAGGCTGTTTACTAAATACTTACCAAGTAAGTGTTTATCGACAAGAGTTATCACCATCACTTACTTTAACGAGTGACATTATCAACCATCAAAATAGATTGCAGTAAGCATCTTTTAATCATTAAGCGCTTACTGGGTAAGAGTCTTCTCCATCACTAATCGTGTAAGATTTTTGGTTCTTGCTATGCCTCTTACCGGATAAAGTTCTCCGTTTTTGTCATGCTCACCTATAAGATAAATAACACCCGATAAGCGTTTACCCGACAAGAGTTTGGTAAACGGCCTAAACTCTCTTTTGTTGGAGATAAACTCAACAACCGAATCCCTTCCAACTTGCAGCGATAAGGATGGGACTATCGGTAAGCACTTACCGGATAAACATTTGAGTAAATAGCCCCCAAGTCTCTGTCTCACACTTGACTTTTTCAACCTCCCTTCCATCCCTCTATTTCTATTATCAACCCTTTTTAGTAATTGATTTTTACATACCTTACAAACAACCCTTAAATTTAAGGTGTTACAACTGAAAACTAAAGTACATTAAAAATACGAAAAAAATAAGTTATTATAACTATTAATGGGTTATTTAATTAATTCAGAAAAATTCTCACATACATATGAACATACATCCCACTCACAATGGTCCGAATACCATATTTAATCTAGGTGACATGAAATGAAACATTTTTTGTTTCAATCATGAGTTATTTAAAAATAATTATCAATAATTTTCATTAGTCGTATTAAAAAACTGATTGATTACAGATGGACCATGGGTTCAATCCCAGGTCTTCTACTAGCTGAATGAGTCAAAAAATATCTCCTCACATTTTGACGCCCTTAGAAGCAGGTTTCATGTGGGATCTGTTGGAGTTTCCGGCAATCAACCTTTGCCGAACCGTCAACTGAAAAAAAAGAGTGAATAACTCAACCTGATCTGACCCGAGGTTTCATTAGGTTATAATTAGACAAGCTTTGTTAAACTAAGTAAGAAATAAATGAAACTTTATTGTATTTTGATACATTTTTCTTTATAAAAACATTCGTTAGAACACATAATGGGAAAAAAAGTGTTCTGTTTCATTTCTTATATTAACTTTTTTTCGAAACAGAACTATTTAAATAGGACATGTGGAAAGAAGGGGTAAAAAAAGAACGATTCAAAGGTGGATTTTCGCGATGACAGACCAAAATGATAAGAAATTTTATATTGTAGTACCAAAGTTGTAACATCCAAAGTTGAGGGGTGGGATATGGAAGTTGAAAATGTTTAGGGACAAATGTTGCTGTTCAACCCAAAGCTTTGTTTTAGGTTATGAATGGCCCATGACTTTTCGTCGCAGCGACGTCGTATTAACACAGTTCCATTCTGGAGAGTCACTTTCCCTTCAACCAATTCATTGATGTTATAAACGATCCTCTGTGGCTTCTTCTCAAACTCGAAGCCAATAAACCCTAAAACCAAAAAGGAGATTCGGTGCTGCAGAAAAACAAAATGTTCTATAGAGGGTAAGACCCCTTTTCTGTTTATCACTTTCCGTAACTTGTTTGATTTTGATTTTCCCCCAATTATTACGATTGTTTATAAATTGACTAGATAATCTAGGTTTGGCTCTTTCATGTGTTTTGGGTGTTTTATGTTTTACCGCTTAAGTTGCTTAGTATTATCTATAATAACTTGTTATCTTATTTATGCTTGATTTGCATTAACCTAGAAATGGATCAATTAATTGAAATTTGACCTCCGTTCCAAAAAAGAGCAATTTTTTTATTTTTGATGTTAAACCTAGCGCGTTTCAACTTTCAAGTGCAAAATTGATATGAATTTTGTTATTAATTAGATTAAACTGGGGATGCAACTTAATCACATTAGTCTTGACATTGGGTAGAAACTCATTTGAGTATTTGACATCCAAAATTTAACTTTTTTTGGGTAAGGGACTGTTTACTGAACACTTACTGGGTAAGAGCTTACTAGCAAGAGTTATCACCTTCATTTGCCTTGTAGGATAACATTTTTAGCCATCAAAATGGATTGTGTTAAGCATCTTTTACCTGGTAAACGCTTACCAGGTAAGAGTCTTCTTCCTCACTTATCTGGTAAGATTTTTGGTCCTTGCTATGCCTCTTAGCGGTTAAGATTCTCGGTTTGTGCCATTCTTACCGGTAAAGCAAGTGACACCCGATAAGAATTTCGGTAAACAATCCCTACATATGTTGTAACTTTCTTTTTCCTTGTCAACATGGGAGATCACTTGCCCATAGCGATGTGGATCTTCTTGTGTTATATTGGCATCCTACTCTTAAGAAAAAGAAAATCTTCCAAATGTAGTATTACATAGCATGTTGACAAAGGGGAGTGGTTGCGGCAAGTGCTGGTTGCGCACGTTAAACCATCTACGAATAAGAACTGAAGAAGCATCATATCGTTGCGAATCGTGGATGTATTTACTGCATGATTTGTGGTGAATTAGATAAGCAAGAGCGGTGTTGTCATTGTATTAATGATGCACCACATTGATTCTGTGGTGTGACAATGAGTTAGAACTTAGATGGGCCCTTACACCTTACTAGATGAAGGAAGTAGTCCATGATAGCAACCAAGGAAGCTGGTGTAATAGAGTAGGGTACCCCTGGGGTAAAGGAATATAAAGTTTGGGGAAAGGAAATTAATCAAGTAGGTGATACCATAAGTAGAAGGAGAGTGAAGATCAAGGAAATCAAGAATACAGCCTTTAGGTTGACTAAAGTGAATCCATGGTTGTAGGAGATTTAAATCATTGCATAGTTATACCTGATGGCTGATATAGAGGCTTTGAAAGAATTGATAGTTATTAGGTATGGTAGCAACAATGAAGATCAAAAAGGAATTGTAAACCATCGTTTTTATGTTAGTTTCCTACAGTTCTCTTCTCTTCTTTCATCTGTTTGACTATCCATACTGTTTGAATTTTCATTGTTCATAATCACCTTCTGTCTCACATGATATGAAAACTATTTTGGAACAAGCTTCAAAAGAACATCGTTCAAGAATATAGAACTACAAACAGGAGGAAAGCATGCTAAACCAACATGCCTTAATTTTACAGCTGCTTTCTTATTTGATGATTGTAGAAAACTCTTGTGGAAAGAGATCCATAATCTCAATCACACCTTTGAATAATGATTAAAATTCTTACCCATATGGGCTATTTTCTCACCAGGAGATATGGACTGTGGTGCTTACACTACGAAAACGTACTTTAGAGTGTTCCATTCCACAAGAAAGATTGGCAGTGTCATACAGCCATCTTGGGAAGTTATGTAAATCTAAGATTGTGAGGGTTAGGTGGTAGGGATTAACAGGGCAACCTACGTATGCATTTTCGAGAGGCCCCTGGCATGCTGCAGATGAAACCTTAGGATCCGTTTTTTCCTCTCATGCTTTAGTGTGCTTCTTTCTTTATTCTTTTCAAATGTTCTCTGGTACAGGGTTAACTTGTAAGTTTTAATCGCTATTGTTTGCAAAGAAATAGGAAAAAGGAGTAAATTACATTTTTGGTCCCTGTGTTTTATGGGTTTTAACAGTCTGGGTCCCTAAAATGAAATATCTATGGATTGCGTCCTCGTGGTTTCCATTTTATAACGTGTTAGGTCCCTAAATGTAACTCCGTTTGATCTCTCTAAAATTAATAATCATCTTGAGGTTCTATTAGTTAACATATTATATTATACAATTTTCTCTACCACCTGGGTTGTATTAGTTAACATATTGTATTATTAGTGATTTGTTTCGTTATATTACGTAATGCTAGAATTTACTAATTTTTTACATGTCCTTTTTGGTCATTTTAGATTTCTCTTACTAGCTTATCAGTTAGCTTTTGCCAAACAAGATTAGTTCATTAGCTAGCTTTTTAGCCAATAGATGGATTATCAACTAGTTTGCCAAACATAGCCTTAGTGAAAGAAGTAGATGTCTTGCAATATTGGAGAGAGTACTTGAGAAGTTGTTTGGAGATCTAGAGGGGAATGTAGGAGAACTTGAGACTTGATATTAGGCGGTAAGCTAAGGCTTTTATGAGGAATTAGAATAACTTGGGGACCATTTACCAAATTCTTACAGGGTAAGCACTTATCGGCAAGAGACATCACCCCCACATACCTTATCTTGTAACATTATTGGCCATCAATTGTTGGTAAACATCTAAACCCCGGTAAGCGCTTACCGCGTAAGAGTCTTTTCCTCACTTACTGGGTAAGACTCTCGGTCCTTTCCTTGCTCAATCGGTAAGGCAAGTGATACCGGTAAGAGTTAAGTAAACGGCCCCTTCATCTCTTAGGTGAAGGAAGCTTTAAGATGGATTAAATAAAGGCTTCTTTAAATACTCCTCATCTAGTTTTGTTGACTCTTAATAAATAAGACATGAAAGAAGTTGCATCTCATCTTACCAGCTATTGATTTGTGATGAGCATACTGAAAGATAATTGTGAAATTTGTTGAATTGACATTATAAGATTTCAGACAGCATGAGTTAGGGTTCATACTGTAACTCTCATGGTATTAGTTAATCTAGTTTAGCTGAATTTACTTCCTTTCTTTGTTAAGGTATTTGAAGGATGTGAAATGAACACTAATTTAATTATTTTTGTTAACTAATTTTTTGCTTTGTTAATATGGTTTGAGAATGTGAACTGAACATTGTTTTTATGATACACTAACGAGATTTGCATTTGTTTTTTAATTAAAATTGTAGTAAATACGTGGATGTTGGCGATGGGCGTGAAATGGGACTGAAAAGACAGCGTGTAATCGACCAGGGTTCTTCATATTATGGTACTCCTCCAGCTTCGAGCTATATGTACAGTCCTCCTCCAGCTTACTCCTACGTCACCCAGCCTCCCGCTTTCCCTGTCGTAAGACTACGGGGCCTACCTTTTGATTGTTCCGAAGCTGATATTGCTGAATTCTTCCATGGCCTTGACATAGTCGACGTGCTGTTTGTCCACAGACACGGAAAGTTTGCAGGGGAAGTCTACTGTGTGCTGGGGTATGCTTTTCAAGTTGAATACGCTCTTCAGAGAAATAGGCAGAATATCGGAAGAAGATATGTTGAAGTTTTTAGAAGCAAGAGGCAAGAATATTATAAGGCCATAGCTAACGAGGTTTCTGATTCTGGTCGGTCTCCTCGTCGTAGTGCTCCGAGATCGAGAGCTTCTGAACGGGACAATGCAGAACATACGGGAGTACTTCGACTGAGGGGTTTGCCATTCTCGGCTAATAGAGATGATATTGTGGATTTCTTTAAGGATTCTGACCTATCAGAGGACTCGATTTATTTTACGGTTAATTCAGAGGGAAGGGTGACTGGGGAAGCATTTGTGAAATTTGCAAGTCCTGAAGATTCGAGAGCCGCCATGGTGAAGGACGGGATGTCCCTTGGAAGTCGTTACATTGAGTTGTTCCCGTCAACACTTGAAGAATGGGAGGATGCAGCTTCTAGGGGACGGTAACGATTCTTCTTTGTCTTGCTTTGCTTTTACTTTTTATAATGGCTATAATATTAAAGTTAATACTTGCTTTAAATACCTAGTAAATCCATCTTTATACTTGCCTTAAATACTGTTTTGCCCGTTTTGTTCTCATTTTATAGCATAAATTGCTTCGCTTTTGTGTCCGTTCCTACTGTGTCTCATGCATTTTTCTTACCTTTTTGTATAGTTTTTCTCTTTCCGATGCCTATAACTTTGTCGCGAGTATATTCATGTTTTTGCGAGTATTTTCAGCTCGTGGGTATATCATGGGATCATTGTTGGCCTACCCCAAGTCGTTTGAGATGAAAAGGCTAGTTGTTAATTGCACTCATTGATTCTCTTTTCTTCCGAGTTCGAGACCAGATGGCTCAATGCTGTAGTGGTAGATTAATAGATTATTCATATACATCATATGCAATAAAGGGCGAGGGTCAGGCCTTGGTAACCATTCATCTGGACGGTATGCACATGTGCATATAAGTCATTTTTTAACAACTTGTCAGGTATAAACATGCACACATGTATAAAAACCAAGAAACAACTTCAATTACTTGTATGCACATGTGCATAATTTTCAGGTGAATGGTTACTAAGAGTGTTCCTTAGTTTTTCATTTTCTTGGTGGTTTTCCCCTGAACCTCCCTCAAGCTATGCATTCCTAAATATTGTATGTTAAGTATTTTTCGTCTTATAAATCTAATGTCTTATTGTTGGGTTTATCAGAGCAAATGTGCCGAAACCTTCTGACGAAGAGACAACAGTATTGCGCATGAGGGGACTGCCGTTTTCAGCTGGAAAGGACGATATCATTGATTTCTTCAAAGAATTCACATTGTCGGAGGACTCGATTCACATGACATTCAACTCAGAAGGAAGACCAACAGGAGAAGCGCTTGTGGAATTCGCAAGTCTGGATGACTCGAAAGCTGCATTGGCCAAAGACCGAATGACACTTGGCAGTCGTTACATAGAACTGTTCATGTCATCGCCTGAGGAGTTTAAGGATGCCGTTTCAAGGGGCCGATGATTTACGCATCTTGTTTTTTTTAATATCTTTTATTTGCATAATCTTCTTCTAGTTGTTCTGTAATAAATAATATGTTTGAACTTTTTTGGGTTTGAATATGATGAAGAAAGATGGTTGCTATTATGTGGATTCACAGGAAGGTTTCAATTGTGAACCGATGTCCCCATCTTTGTCTGCAGTTCTGGTTTTTTTTTATTAACCCGGATATCCAACCTGTTATGCGAGCTGACTAATTCCAGGGCGACCACATGCTTTGCAGATAGCATGAAGTCACCGCATTTGAACCTCCGTGGCCACAAGGGGATTTTTATTCCTCCTTGGATTTGAAAGCCATATCAATTGGAACTCTTATTTCCATCTTGCTTTTTCTCTCATGGAAAACCAATTCTAGACCCTGCAATCCTATTAACTTATCAGTTGAGCTATCTTTGGCAAACTAGCTAATAAACTAACGGTTGGCTAATAAGCTAACCGTTGGTTGAAAAGTTGATTAATAACGTTCGACAAAAACTGACTGAAAAATCAGTCGATAAATTTTCTTTGTAACTCTGACCAAATCAAATGAATTAGGTATATCTCATTCAAGTAAAGTTTGAGGATTTCAAGTCCGTTTATCTGGGCTTTGTTAGGTCTGTCTGGACTAAGCAAGGTCGAACTGGACTTTGGGGTTGGAAAAGTACCTGATCGGGATTTTTAGGCCAAACTTTTTCAGGCTTAACCAGGTCTCGTCAGACTAGGCCAAGACAGAGGTATGTCTTTAATTTCGGCTTGATTAGGCTTTGGGCTCACTAAGCCCGGTTCAAACTTGGACTTATTTAATAAGACATGTACAGAATACAGAACTATATAATAAGTTATCAGTTAATGATGGTAAAATGTTTGGAGGTGGTTAATGGAAGTTATTTATTTATTTTTTTTAATAAAAGATTCTTAAAAATATTGAGATGCAATTTTGATTTAAAATTAGAGATGACAAAGGTTTCACACAAAACAACGAATAAAAAATGAATCCATGAAAAAACACCAAACAAATCCCCAAAAATTCAAGCGCTGCGCATGTGCACGTGTGTGTATTAAAACTATGGGGGTATCCGAGGTCCTTTTTCGTTTATAATAACTAGAAGAGTACTCGCGCAATGCAGCGAGACACATATTGATTTTAATGTTCTATTTTATTATTTGTCTCTATCGATGTTATAATACGATTTTATGCGTTTTAAAGAAAACAATAATGATTTTATTTTTGAATAAAATATAAATTTGAAGATATCATAAAAATTTGAAAAAAAT